TTCAGTCAAGGACTCTGATTCTGACTCTCATTCAGGAGCTTTGCATAGTTGTCCTGGTATTCATAAAATAAAATTCACTTTCTCGCTAGTGTACTGCATGTTGCTGGTGGAAAGCTGTTTATAACTCATCTACTGGCTTTCCTGGCTCTAAAAAATAATTAAATATTGGCGATAGAAATCTTCAGACCAAATGAGGTCAGATTTTTCTCCATTTCATAACAGACTTTAAAGTGAGGGTGAATTATGTGAATGTAAAATCTGTGTGTTCATGGCCATTGCAAACATATAATCCATCTAAAAAAGCAAATGAAAAATTAACAGCAGCTCAGTGTGAAACTCAAGAAATGAAAAATTGAGGATGAAGTTTAATTATGCTTCCTTGTTCACTATTTGTGGTGGTGGTGGTTTTTAATTTTAGCTCGTGTTCTCAAATCATTTGTGAACCTATCCAAAGTCCGTTGATGTGTTAAGGATATGACAGATAGTGTGCGGTGTTGCCAAAATTCATGATTTCATCATGGCTGTTATAATACTTGGGGTGTTAATTAGCGCCGCAGCTCCTGGAGTCATGGGACTATGGGAGCATTTTGACTTTCCTGTGAACAACTTTTCTAGCTCTCGTGGTTGCAGAGAGAAGCTTGAAAACATGATGCCTGTGGCATTTTTTTTCTGTTTCATTATTGGATGTCTGAAACTTTTTAAATTGGAAAATATGTAATAGCAATAGCAAAGAAATGTGTGTACAGGATAAAATTTTGTCTTAGATATTGCCTTAGATTTCCTCCAGATTGTTATAACCTTATGACCTAGTTAATACACTGCAAAACTTATATGTAATGTGGGGACCTAGTTATAACACACTAGATTATAAAGTGCAGAAAGGATCTTTTAGCTTCTCTGTGCTTTTGTCCTTACGTTTGTAAAATGGGTTACTAATATCTTCTGGCCGCACCACTGCCCACCTAGTGCTGGGGCTGGATGTGCTTCAGCTGCACCACCCCCCCGGCACTCTGGGGCTGGGGGCGCTCTGCCATGCCGCTTGCTGGGTGTGCTGAGGCTGGGGGCATATGGGGGGGGGCCAGTGACCACGGGGGTGTGTGCGTGCTCCAGGCTCTGGTGAGGGAGGGAGTGGGAGAAGGGAGGAGGGGCCTCGGGCAGAGCGGGAGAGGTGGGGGCTAGCCTCCCCAACAGTACGTTCACCTGCTGCCATGGCTGATGTCAGCTATCTTGCTTCCTGGCTTTTGTGCATTTAAATTTTAAAGTTGCATTTACAGTCTTCTACATGTAATGTCCTGTCTCTTTTTGAAGAGGGGAAACGGCCTGAATGCTTAAGGTATGTCTACACAGCAAAGAAAAACCCATGACAGCCGACTTGGGCTCTGGCTGTGGGGATGTTTCATTGCTATGTAGACGTCCGGGTTCATCCCTACAGTCCAAGCCCCATGAGCCCAAGGGGTTTTTCTTTGCTGTGTAGGCATACCAGTCAATGTTTTTTGTGCAAACTTTGAAATAGATGGCTGAGTTCACAACTCTGTTTTGGTTTTTCTGGAGGGATAGGTCAGGATACCTGCAAAGACTACACAAGTTGTATGTAAGTAGTGTGAATGCAACTCAATTCCTCTCTAACCAGGATTCTCTTTCTTGGTATATCTTTGTTGTAACTGGAAAAATAGAAGCTTTATCACTTTTTGACAAAATTTGGGTTTTTCATAGGCATTTTCATTTTGAATCAATAAGTGGTGTTTCGGTTTTGGTTTTTTTTTCCATTTTATTTCAATGTGAAATGTCATTTTGGTTTTTGGAAACTGAAAAGTTTTGGTTTTTAGTGTGTTGATTTTTTATTTCTCTCTCCCTCTTCTCCCCCCCCCCTTTTTTTTTTCATGCCATCTCCACTCCTATTTCTTCTTCCAGCGTAAAAATGGTGGTGGTGGTGGTGGGCGAGGGAGAGAAAGAAAACTTTCATTTTCCAAAAGTCAAAATGGTATCTTAAAGGAAAGAATTCATTTTGAAATGTAGGCTGGAAACAAAATAATTTTTGTTTTAAAATTCAAAAAATGTTGAAAGCAACATTGATCGCAGAAAATGCTGATAACAATTGCAGTTTCTGGTTAATTTTTTTGTGCAAAATATATTTTATCAGATCTGCTTTCATGTTAGGTAGAGCCTGCATTTCTGATATTTAAAATTCTGCTTCCTCTAATTTTTTAGCTCTTTATACTTTGCTGTATTTCTACACTATTACAAAAAAAAAAAAATCATTTCAAGTCTGGTCTTCTGTGGCTTTGGTGGTGGACTTCCTGGGGGGTCTGGAATTGGTTTTTGGTGGCTTTTGTATCTTAAGTGAAGAGGCAAGGGTTAAATCTTCAACAAAGCAATCCTTTCTTTAGAATGTTCATTAGGCACTGGGAGTTCAGAAATATAAACAGTCTGACTAAATATCTTTTTATCTCTCATTTTACTCTGCTTTCATTCTCTTGATTCCTGTGGTGTCATAACTTAATTAGTTCTCCTGTCATGTATAGCTGTCTTCACAAGGGAACTGTACTGAGGTGACAGGTGGGGAGGAGGAATCCTTCAGTGTATGTATTATACTGCGAGCGCTAGTGTCGACAAATCACCAGCAGTTTCCAGTCTCTTTACCATTAAGTTAAGTTTAACCAGCTCTTCAGCAGGCTTAACACACAGTGGTGAAAAAGGGTCCAGCTGCAGAGACTTGTCTGTCACTTGTGGGGGATCTTTTACAAAAAAAAGTCCATAACTTAGTTAAAGCTCTAGCGTCTTCCATGACAAACAAATCTTGAATGTTTACTCTGAAAACAAGCAGAATAACCCTGTCTGCCCACCCCCCCTTTTTTGTGGAGAGGTAGGATCCTTTGTCTTAATGTCATAAAAAAGAACAATGTCAGAAACCTTCAGATCTTTATAATACAGAATCTTTTAAAATTAAAAATAAGACTATTCTCTGTCCTTAAAAAAGAAAGAAAATAAAAGAACATTAATGTCTGAGGTGAATGTGTGTAATCCACCTGTAGTTGTGCCAACCGTAGGCAAAAGCCATTCGAATGATTCATTTGGAGCCTGGATGTTCTGAGAGGCTTGTGATCCTGTGCTGAATCACAGCAGCCTATGAATGGCCGATGTCCGGATCAGCAGTGGGAATGGGAAGGAAAGACTGCTATGGTCTGAACAATCCCACCCCAGAACAGGTTGTGGTTCCTACAAAACTGAATGCTGGCCTTAGTGTCTACATGTGGTTGGCAGTGAGAGGAGGTGTGGTGCGGAGAAAGGAGAAGAGGATGGAGTTGTTTGTATGCAGGTATGTATGCGGGGTGTGAGAGAAATGTGAAGGTGAGCTACGAAGTTTGTGTGGGGGAAGATAGAGGAGGATGACTGGATGTGGGCATGAGTTTATGCATGATTTCTACATATTGTGAAACATTCTTATAACTTACTTGGACAAAATTGCAGTTGTGCTTCAACGAGGGTGTGTCTACTTATTTCTTCACTGTATGTGTGGGTGCTTGTGTACAAACAGAATGTTTGTATCTATGGCTTCCAGAGTGTGTATGGGTATTGATGCAGCCATGATGAAAGAGGAGAGTACAGATGACAGACAAATGTGTATTGAGGAGTGGGGAGGTATCTGCTGCCTTTTCTCATAATGTCTGTATTTGAGATAAGGAGGTTCTGGATATTTTTGTGATGTGTGCACAGTGTCATGAGTGTCTGGCACATAAACTAGACGGCAGTATATTTTTAAGGCCCTGTTGTGCATCAGATATAACCATAAAAAGAAAAGGAGTACTTGTGGCACCTTAGAGACTAACACATTTATGTGAGCATAAGCTTTCGTGAGCTACAGCTCGCTTCATCGGATGCATGCTGTGGAAAATACAGTGGGGAGATTTATATACACAGAGAACATGAAACAATGGGTGTTGTTTCATGTTCTCTGTTATATACATCTCCACACTGTGTTACAGCATGATAAGCAGCTGTTCATTGTTTCATGTCTAAATGTTGCTCTAAGGTGCCACAGTCTCCTTTTCTTTTATATAAATCTCCCCACTGCTACTTTCCGAACCAGATAATAACCATGTTAGGGAACCGTGGTTGTAATACTGTATCTTCTTCTTCTTTTTTTTTTTTCTTCCCAAACCTGTATAGGTGACCAATCCTCATTGACGGCTAGCCTCACATAAGGTTCTAAATTTGAACTTTTAAAAAAAATTGTTTCCTTTACATTTTAAATTATCTTTCCAGCCACATCCAAATACTTTAAAATGACTATCTGGATTTGGCTTCAATATTTCAAAATAAGATAAAACCTCCCACAAATTCACATTTAGATTGAGACCAAGAATATGAAGTCTCACCCCAAAAGAGAATTGTAGAGAAAGCAATGAGTGAAAGCATGTATGCGATGAAAATATATTGCAACTTAACTACACACTTTTATTACAATTGTAATATATTGCTAAATCATCTTAGTTCTGTAAGCACTGAACACTGTTAACTTTCAAGCATACATCCAGTATGCCAGACTTGTGATCACCTGAATAGTTGGCACCTGTCAGACAGGAAATTCACCTGCTTACAACGGAGAATCGCAAAATGAGCAATCAAAAATGAAAGAACCTAATTCTCATGGAAACTGGGGCACTATTCTCGCAAACATCATGACCACGTCTTTCTCTTTTTGTGTGCTCCGGCAAGATGGTGCACAGGACTAGTTATGGAGGTATGGGAGGCATATAATAATGACTTGCAGGTGTCCCCCTGTGCTGCCTTGCACATGTTGGGATTGAAGGAGATGCAACTGGTTTTCATTTTTCTGAAAGGGAACTCTGATTTCAAGACTCCCCTAAAGCAAGTCACTGAACTGACTAATTCTTTAAGTTAAATTTGCTTCTCTTCAGTAAAGGTGTATTCTTTTACTTTCATCTTTAATCTTGATTTTAGATTAAGTTGTTTTATTATTTTCTCTTTTTCTCTTCTAGGTAAAGAAATTAAAAGCCTTTGATGGAGATGTAGCAAAACTGTGTCAAGCTGATTACTTTATGTATTTACTAATCCAGGTGCCAAAGTAAGGAGGTACTAGGTTTATTCTATTCATGGCAAACTCTCTTTTTTTGGCTCTCTGTTTTAAAGCTAGGTTTATTTATGTTCCAGCTATTCTCTTCGGATTGAAGCTATGGTGCTAAAGAGAGAATTCACACCTTCTTGTACTTCTCTGCAGAAAGACATGGCAATTATAAGAACAGCTACGAAAGGTAATTAAACATGCTTTGACATGCATTACATTCTTGTTTTTGCAAGCAGATTAATCAATCTGCATTGTAGAGACTAGATCTTGAATTTCAGGTACCTAGTAGCTATTTAAAGGACGCTAACTAGCCTCTGACACATTCCATAAGGGTGTGTCTGTTGAATTTTTACTCTGCTCCCAGGGCCAAAGATCCCGAAGTTACTGCATCTCTTTCACATTCCTCTATGCCTGGTAAAGCTGTCTGTAAGATGGCAATATTGGTTGACTGAAATAATTATCCTAATGGATTCTCATGTAATCTCTTATAGATCCATTTCCTTCTGTTCTTCTGAACTCCCTATTTTCTAAACTTTACAGGCACCGGAGTTCTGGTGATATGTTGCTCCTTTGGTCCAGGAACCCAAATCCTAATTAAGTCCTGCCTTCTGCTTTCTCTCTCTAGTTCTCTGAAAACATCCACTCGATGTGCAGCGGCAGTCAAAAAAGCAAACAGAATGCTGGGAATAATTAAGAAAGGGATAGATAATAGGACAGAAAATATCATGTTGCCTCTATATAAATCCATGGTATGCCCACATCTTGAATACTGTGTGCAGATGTGGTCGCCACATCTCAAACAAGATATATTAGAATTGGAAAAGGTTCAGAAAAGGGCAACAAAGATTATTACGTGTATGGAACGGCTTCCGTATGAGGAGAGATTAATAAGACTGGGACTTTTCAGCTTGGAAAAGAAACAGCTAAGGGGAGATATGATTGAGGTCTATAAAATCGTGACTGGTGTAGAGAAAGTAGATAAGGAAGTGTTGTTTACTACTTCTCATAACACAAGAACTAGGGGGTCACCAAATGAAATTAATAGGCAGCAGATTAAAAACAAATAAAAGGAAGTATTTCTTCACACAATGCACAGTCAACCTGTGGAACTCCTTGCCGGAGGATGTTGTGAAGGCCAAGACCATAACAGGATTCAAAAAACCTAGATAAATTCATGGAGGATAGGTCCATCAATGGCTATTAGCCAGGGTGGGCAGGAATGGTGTCCCTAGCCTCTCTTTGCCAGAAGCTGGGAATGAGTGACAGGGGATGGATCACTTGATGATTACCTGTTCTGTTCATTCCCTCTGGGGCACCTGGCACTGCCCACTGTTGGAAGACAGGATACTGGGCTAGATAGACCTTTGGTCTGACCCAGTAGGGCCATTCTTAAGTTCTCTCTCTTAATCTAATGCAAAATAATTAACTTCTTAATTTTCTGGTTTTGCTCCTTCCTATGATTCTGACTTTCACCTAATCCCTGTGTTGCCCATTTACTCTGATCCTTAGTATGGGAATACTGGTAAACACATTGAAAGCCACAGGAGCATTGCTCATATCTGCCCCAAGCAGTGTTAGACAACACAGTAGTCAAAGTGTCCAGCTGCAGGAGCCTTGTCTACACTAATACTTCCAGTGGTAGAGCTGAATTGGTGGTAGTAATGGCTGTAAATTTTTGGCAAAAAAGCCTGTTGTATCTTGCTAATGCTGAGAGTTTAACTGGGGACTTACAAGCAAGTCAATTGATAAAGGTCCATGTACACTGCAAAATTGAACTACCATATATATTCGTTCATAGGCCAAATATTTTTGGTAAAAAAGTGACGCATCAAAGAGCAGGGGTCGGCTTATAAATGGGTCTACACCAAAATTTGATGATTTTAAACTCTATGAAATCATTTAATTGAATATCTAATACATTGTCGTTTTGTTTACCTGGAGCGTTCCCGCAGCTCCCATTGGCTGGGAATGGCAAACAGCGGCCACAGGGAGCTGAGGGGCTCCATGCCTGCAGACGCAGCAGGTAAACAAAATGTCCCGACCCACCAGCGGCTTACCCTGATGGGCCGGGAGCCAAAGTTTGCCAACCCCTGAAATATAGGGTCGTCTTATGAAAGGGTCATATGGTTTTTACTATTTTTACCTATCCATCTTGGGGGTTGGCTTATAAACGAACGGGCTAATGAACGAGTATATACGGTATGTTGTAACTGTCACTTGACAGGGTAGCAACTGTAGTATAGATGGGCTCGTCCGGTGTGCCATCTTTGCAGGCTGACTTCTCTTCTTAGTTTATAGACTTTTATATCCACTTGCACATTCTTTTCTGCCTCTTGCTATAAAATGCTTCCTTGTATAAAGCTTTTTGTATCAAAACATTTTTAATTACCTTGTGTTCTGGCAGGCTGCTAACACCAAACAAAGTGGTTTGAGAGGTACCACTTCTGACTGCTTCCATAATGACAGATTAGCATGTTGGATTAAACCGTTAAAAACAGGATAATTTAAATAATGCTAATTTTGGAGCAATATAATGTCTTTTCTTAAAAAAAAAAAATTTTCACAGTGCACTGATTGCAAGTGTGTTTATTTTAAGCCTTCTACAATTTAATATTCCACATTTTACTATGAATGGCTAGATATTCATCAAACCTTATAAAATAAAATTCTCTATAGTGTTTATTCCCATGCTGTGAATACCTTGCAAATTTGCAAAGATCTTTTACTCTACAGCAGTGGTTCTCAAAGCCAGTCAGCCGCTTGTTCAGGGAAAGCCCATGGCGAGCCAGACCAGTTTGTTTACCTGTCGCGTCCGCAGGTTTGGCCGATCGCAGCTCCTGCTGGCCGCGGTTCGCCGCTCCAGGCCAATGGGGGTTGCGGGAAGGGCAGCCAGCACATCCCTTGGCCCATGCCGCTTCCCACAGCCCCCATTGGCCTGGAGCAGCAAACCGCGACCGCTGGGAGCCACGATCGGCCGAACCTGCAGACGCGGCAGGTAAACAAACTGGTCCGGCTCGCCATGGGCTTTCCCTGAACAAGCGGCTGACTGGCTTTGAGAACCACTGCTCTACAGCATTTGTAGAATACTAATTTTATTAACTCTTCACAGCTGCATAGCTCTATTTCTCTTATTTCTAAGGTATTTCTTATGATAGTTTCTAAGCACATACTTGTATGTTAAGTTGAATCTTGTTGAAAATGTCCATGTATATTTTCATCTAAAGTACTGTTGTGTTTTGCAAAAGTAGAATATGTAGGAAATAAGCTTTTATTATAAGAGTTTTTATTAGGAAGTTTTATTTCATATTACTGTCTGTATGACGTTTTAATGTAGCCTTATATTCTATCTTTGGTGTCTCAGAGCTGTCTTTATTGTAACTCACTGTCTTTTGATTATGCAGAAAGTCTGCAGGGTGGGGGGAGGAGGGGTAAATAAGGAAAGTTGTACTTTCCGTACACCTTTTCAGACCCAACCAATTATTTTTATATACAAACTTTAGTAATCAAGGTCCCAATCCTGTCAGACATTGAACAGTTCCTGCAAGGTGCTAAGTACACTTGCTTCATTCTGAAGTTAGTGGGAGGTGAGGGTTGTTGGCAGCTCTTATGAGACACTCAGCGCTGGGTAGGATTAGACCCCAAATGTTTCATGAGCTACTGGTGGTTGCCTTGGAAACATTATACTAGCTGAGCTAAGGTCTGAACGTATACTTTGTGGTTTGCCAACTGTCAATGATATTCTGTCATTATGGAAGCAGTGACTTTGGATTATATAATGTCATTTTCTCCCATGACCTTTCAGTTAATTGTAGTTTCCTGTAAAAAATAAATTAAAAAAATAAAAAAATTCACACCTTTTATGAGCTTGAGGATGAAATGGACTTTGGTAACTGACAATCTATGTATAATATACACACTACATATATTTCTAACAAACAGCCTCCAGACTGCAACTTTCTGTTTGTTTCTTTACAGAGTTAATGTCATGTGAGGAACTACATTCCATATTACACTTGGTCCTTCAGGCTGGGAATATTATGAATGCAGTAAGTGTGCATCAAAATGAAGAGGCCTGATTGACTATTGCAGTCCACTGATGTCACATGCCTTCTCTGTCTCTTTTCCTCTCTAGGGGGGTTATGCTGGCAATGCAGTTGGCTTTAAACTCTCGTCACTGCTCAAGCTGGCAGACACAAAAGCAAACAAACCTGGGATGAATCTGCTGCATTTTGTTGCTTTGGTATGTAAAAACTACCATCTTTGAGAATAACTGTTATAATCTAATTAGGGGAGGCACGGATGACTGATAGTTTGTTTTAGTTGAGTGGAAGAGATATGTGCCGTACAATAAGAGGGTAAACCTTAAGTCTCCGGTCCTTAACCGTTCCCTCTTTGCTTCCGCACATTCCGCTAGCTTACCTGTGTATGGTGATCCCATCCACAGAAAACTGAACAAATATAAAGACTAATTAAATCTTCAGCAGAAACTTTCTGGTATTGTGTTTTAAAAAAAAAAAAAAAAAAAATTCCCCATCTAGTTCTTCAAGTGTAACATCCCCTGACTATTCAAGTCCTGGGATACTTTGTTAAAGGAGCTGTCAATTTTGATAAAAACTTCTTCTTTCTATTAAAACTTCTGAGGAGAAATGACCTATTTCATTGCGCTGCTTGACTTGTTAGATTTTTTTAAAGCTATCAAATCTTTTGCAGCTCCTTAGGGGTTTTTTGCATTTTTTCCTTTTCCAATTGGAATGAATTTTGAAATGCACCTGGGGTCACTGTCTTGACCAAATTTCCCTTCCCTCCATGGAATGGAAAAGATTGAAATACTTCCACTTGTGATTTTTTTCATTGTCTGTGTGCAAACTGGTTTAACAGCTTTCACATCAGCAAGACACCTTCGGCTAACAACATAAGTGTTAGGTGATGTTTAGGCAGGAAATATTGCATTAGCCCAAACAATTGGCATTAGTCAATTGCCCTTACCTAAGATTCTCTCTTAATGCACATGGATTGTTTTCAGTGGAAGAAGGTACTATTATCTGTGTGCTGTGAAATGGAAATTGTTTAAACTCTCTCTAGGTCTGATCCTTGTCCACCTTTAAGTGAGGCTTTTTTCCAATAATTCACTCATTTGAACTGAATGAAAAATAGAACCTAGCAGCAGTGGCAATATAGAAACTAAATGCCTTTGCCAAAGCTTTAGAAACAGTCTTTACTTAGATTTTAGCAGGGTAATGGAATGTGAAAGGGACATTGTTTGTTTTTTAATTTTAGGAAGCACAAAAGAAAGATGTGGTTCTTCTAACCTTTTCAGAAAAATTACGGCACGTTCATGATGCAGCCAGGTAAGCAAAGAAAACTGAGAACTTGTTAGAAAGAGACATGAGTCTTCTTTTTGTGAAGCACAGAAGCACATTTACAAAGCTTTGGCATTAAAACTGAGATCTTTACAAGTGTTTACCATTGCTTTCAGGGCTTCATTTTCATTTGCAAACAGAAGTTTGCCTTCAGTGAGCTGTAGCTCACGAAAGCTCATGCTCAAATAAATTGGTTAGTCTCTAAGGTGCCACAAGTACTCCTTTTCTTCTTCCTTCAGGTTTAGAGGTTTTTATTAATTGATTTTTATAGGGGTTTTTTGCCTTTGTCAATACAATGTTCAACTAGGTAAATGCATATATATTACTTTTAACAGATCAACCTTCAGGGCATGTTTTTAAAATAGTGTCATGTTACTGTTACTGCTGTTCTATAGAATAACTTCCAGATATCTGTTGGGTTGGTATAGTACCTTTCTTTCCAGATCTGGTACCACATACACTAATAAAGATTACTAGTGGCTCTAGCTTCCTCTACAGATTGCAATACCCCCTCCCTTTTTGTCCTGGAGATCCTCCCTCCATAATACACACTCTACTATAGGGTTTATGGGACATTCAAAATACTGGACCACCCCATTCTTGTAATATATGAACTTACTTTACAAACTTGAGTCCCCAAACTTGAGTTCTCTTAGGTGGTAGAGGGAAGGAAGATTATGCTTGTGAATGAACATGTTGTATTCATTCTGTGTATAGAAGAAAACTATAATACCTGGGGTTAAGTAAAGTTTTCAACCTGAGGCCTTGAATTGTATAATTCTACAGGTAACAACATTAATTCATACCTGGCTAAACTATATATGTACTTTTACGAGGCAGTGTATGATTTCGAGCATAGAACTGGAAGCTAGGAACCGCTGAGTTGTAATCCTGGCCATCATCTCTGTCTTCAACTTTGGGCTTAACTTCTTTCCACATCTGTAAAATAGAGAGAGTTCATATCTCATGGATATACTGAGTCTTAATTTAATGTCTGTAAAGTACTTTGAGATCCCCTGAGGGAAGGTACTGCGAATCTGTTCATAATAGACCTGACTGGAAATTTCTGATGGAAACCTGCCTGGCTTCCTTCTGTCTTGCCGTTGACTCCTCAGCAACCTGCCTGGCAGACTGCTGAGGAGCCCAGGCTTCCCAGGGAGTAAGCAGACAACTTCCATTTTGGCTCACCCAAAATAGATTTTTTTTTTCCCCCTGTCTTTTCCCTCCTGTGAAATATTTAGAATATTTTGAAAGTTCCCCCCTCCCCAATACAAAATTTTTCACGGGAGGGAAAAGACTGTTTTTTGGCCAGGTCCAATTTGCAACATAACATTTGTCATTTAATCTGACTAAAACCAATGGTGAGACAAAAATGAAACAAACCAAAACACATTATAACCATTGGACATGAATAAGATCAAAAACTCGCTAGTACAAGCTGCTGATAAACCCCCAAAATCTTCAAAAGCACACATGTGTTGCAGTGTCCTCTGTTAATTTAGTTCTCTTGCATTTTCTTACTGCTCTCTTTTATAGGCCTGCAAAATGCAACCCGTGTCATCTACAGACTTTTTGATATGCTAAAGGTTCTGCAATGCACTGGGATGCAGATCTCTGAAGCATCTGTGATCTTCGCTGAAGCAGGGAGTGTATTAGTGGAGAAGAAGGATACTGAGGAAAAATAGCCTACCTCATACCCATAGATATGTAGACTCCCTGCTCTAGTGCTGATAATTATAGGTGCTGCTGCCATCATCACCAGCCCTGTGTACTCTGGGTAGCATTCATGGGGACTGCAGTTCACATACCTGTAAAAGAGCAGTGACAGCAATTAAAATCATGCTACTGGTGAAATGCACTCCAACCAGAATAAGTGTATGCAGTCAGTAATGTTGGGCCATCTGGGAGACATTACTAATGCTTCAGTTCCTAAGTGAGACTAAAATTCTGTGGTGGTATTGAACTCACTGTGTTGGGGTAATACCATCTCCCTGTGGGACTTACCCGGAAAGATCTATTGCTGAGGTGGTTGAGAGACTCAGTCACTTGCTACTAATTTGCAAGTAGGGCTGCAAAAACTGTAGGAGCTGGGCCTTCAAACACAAAGGGGCTCAGATTCCATAAGAACAGGGCTATTTCTGTGAGTCTTAGGCCTGTTGCACTTACTCTGAATAGTGAGCAATGATGCCCCAGGAAGAATGCATGAAACCTGCAGAGGGGGAGATTCGTCTGTAACTTGCACTAGGCTGTGTACTGATCAGGAGTGTGTCTGTTTAGCAGCCACATCACATAAATGGTGTGAAGGGGTGTGTTGCAACTATGCAGGTAATATGGTAGAAGGATGAAACATCATGGCTGCTGGGCTGAAGGGAACTTGTGGCTCTTTGAGCTGCCTGCATTGCTGTGACTTCCTGAAGGAATATCCTGTAAGAAAGCTTAGGGAACCTTTCAACATTGCAAATAAGGAAAAATAAGCAGATTTTTCTGCTAACTCTTACCTTCTGCTCTGGGAAGGTTTACCAAGCAGGCAGGTCTTGTTTGATGTACAGGTGGTGTATTATGACAAATTTATGAAGCATGCAACACCTAACAATGGGCAACTCCTTTCTCTCAGTAAGTGCTCTCTGTATATGCTATTTTTTAGATTATCCATTGATAATATAGAAGCAGAACTTCATTCTCTATCTGCCAAGACAAGATCTCTTAAAGACAATATTCAGCAGGACCCAGGACTTTTTCACCAGATGGAAGGTTTTATCCAGGTTTGTAGAATATCCCTGGTAATGTGTTACTGTCACTTCAATGCAGCAGTGTTTCTCAGTTTACCATAATTTGCATGGATGTGTTAACAGGCAGTAGATTCACTTTAATATGTCTGTCTCATCATAAATCATCCGTTCAGAGCTGCTCACGCTGCACTACTGTGTTTGTCAAATATGAGTTTATAAAGGACTACGCTGTTTAGAGGAAAAAATATTGGATGTGTGTTGCCTTAAGGGCTAATCAGGCAAGCATGTTTAACTATCGTGAAATGGCTGATGAAGATCAGTGGTTAGAATATCAGATTATTTGCACTGTTCTACTGCTTTGTATTTAACACGCAGAAGCTAGATTCTTACCAACTTGTTATGCTGAAGCATGCCAGTTTTAGTTGAGATAACATTGAGCATTTCAAACTCTAGTTGTTGGGAGATTGAAGGGGTGTTTTTAGCAATTCGTATGTTTAACAGATTTGCTGTGGATTAACCCTTAACATATACTTTTAGTGTGAGCCCCACAAACGTTCTTGGGTGGTGGTTTTATTTGGTTTTCCCAGTAATTTTTTTTTTGTATGTAAATAAACAGAGTACTTAACTTTTGAAACAATCTTGACACATGTCATGTAACACCTTTTAGCGGGTAATGATGAGTGGAAGAATCTATACTTGGGTTTCAATGAAGTGTAAGAGTGTGTCTGTCTTTTTTATATATATATTTTTTGTATAAATATTGCAAATAAGAATACAGTATTTACCAAGAAACTTGTTAAGGCAGTTGTGATTTAAATTTACAGAAGCTGTTAATGGATTAGCCATTGCACTTTGTCAGGAACTGTGAAATTGATGGAGAAAAAGGGTGGGTTAAGAATGGAGTAGTTGCCCTCACTCTGAATTCTTAGCTTTTATCCACTGCATTAAGACTCCTTAATGTTGTGTTTTAACATGTTTTTTATTTTAATAGCTAGCTTTATGTACCATTAAAACCTTGCTTAGGACAAATGCCAAGTGGAATCTTTGAACCATTTTTCACTTTACAAATATATACTTTACATAATGCTTCCATTTTTGAAATTATGGGCAATAACTACACAGATAAGTCATCTTACATTATGTCATCCCTGTGAATAAGCTACTAATATATGTGGTAGAGCTAATTATCCATGCATGTCAGTTGTCCTGTTTATCTTAAATCCAGCTTTTGTTTGCTTTGGTGTGTGTGTGTGTGAAGACTGACAAGCAAAGATTTATTCCTACAGTAATTTTCCCCCACCCGAAAAAAAAAAAAAATCCCCACACCCTCTATATAAAGTCTTAGGCTCTTGATACAAACTGCTACTTTATACAGCAATTTTGTTTAGTAGGTTGTTTTTAATATTTCTGGCACTTTTTTCATCTTTTTGTTATATTTTTAAGACTGTTGTTCTTTCATCATCTAAATTAAACTAATAAAAGAGCTGATGACATTATTTGTATCTATTTACATATATACATTTAAGAGAAAAGAGGGAGGGTAAGATAATCCAGTTAATATTTTTTAGATCAATATTGTGGTATCCTAAGCTTGTTCAAACACTAGTTTGCCTTTAGTGGTTGTTAGACTTAACTTTTTATTTTGTCAATTCCTTGAAAAAATGGCTTGGATTTAAAATGTGTCTAAGTCCATTCCTGCTTTTCCTTAAATGCTTGGGTAAAACATTATATAGATTCTTATTTAGGTTCTTACACTGATGCCCATCACTGTGGTATCTGAGCAACTTCCTCATAGAATCATAGAATATCAGGGTTTGAAGGGACAACAGGAGGTCATCTAGTCCAACCCCCTGCTCAAAGCAGGACCAATCCTCAGTTTTTGCCCCAGATCCCTAAATGGCCCCCTCGAGGATTGAACTCACAACCCTGGGTTTAGCAGGCCAATGCTCAAAGCACGGAGCTATCCCTCATGGAAGACCCTCAGACCTTGTGTATGTTTCAAAATGCTATAGTATTTAAATACAATCAAAATCTAGTCAGAAATTTGGGGTGGGGGGAGATTAAAATTCAGAGTTAAAGTTTGAAACCCGTTGTTTTGCTTTTAATCCTTCGTCTAGTGACACATCTTGCTCGTTGGAATTACTGTTTTGTTTTATCTTTTTTCTTTTTCTTTCTCACTTCACTGAAATGGCAACAAGCCTGCTTTTACACTGTAAGATGTTACTCTCAAAGTCCTGATTTATTGGACTCTGTGATAGCTGGTAGATGGGAATATAGATTTCATCAGCACCTACTATATCTATCAGGTGTATAAGTTCTTAATATGTCTAGCTTACAATGTATATGTTTTACTGCAGTTTGCTGTAAAAGAACTAAAAGAGCTAGAATACTGGAAACGAGAATTACAGGAGCAAGGAAATACACTTATTGACTTTTTCTGTGAAGACAAAGAAACCATGAAACTGGATGAGTGCTTTCAGATATTCAGGGACTTCTGTATAAAGTTCAACAAGGCTGTTAAGGTAAGGAGAATGAAAACACATTCTCTTTCAGTTAAAATAAATCTTTTATTCTTATGTGATCTAAGACTGCTAACATCCCCATAATATTTGACATATTTGTTTGAATTAATGTCATGTGGCAAATTGCCCATTTCTAGGGCTTTTGTTGCTCTAAGCAAACTGGAAAATAGCTACCTCTCCCAGGCTTGTAGCCAATCCAATAATTAAGTCAAACGTTTTGCTGCCCCAAATATTTTGTTACCAACCAATTAGAGTATTTAGAGGCATGTCAGGCCAGTCATCTAAGTGTCATTGTAAGATAGCTTCCTCCCTCACCCTCTTTACAAGTCTGTAAAAATTCCCTGTCTCTGACTTGCATTCTTTCTCCCTCCAGAGGAAGGCATTAAGTGGTGTTTTTGGTACCATGAAGACTCTTTGTGGCCTTGTTGGGGGGAGATATGGAAAAGCAGACTAACAGATTTTATCTATTTCAAGACTTGTATTATAGGTGACCTCCAGTCCTGCCAGTGTGGTCGTGGCAGCTGTGGTGTGAAAGCAGCCTCTGTAGCCTTTGCTCCACTTTTGTCATTGGCAGCTTTGCTTTTTTCCAGGGACAGCTTTGTGTACATAAATATGTTCTTTGTCTCATTTAATCCAATGCATCATGCCTATTTTCCCCTACAGTGCTGTATAATGGTATAAACAGGCAACTTCCAATTAAGTAACCGTTTGACATTGGCATATTAAAAATCCACTAGAAAGTACAGTTGGATGGGACATGAAGATCTGAACGATACTCCTGGCTTATAAATACACATAAATAAAACAGATATACAATACCCAAGTTCATAACAAATAATTTAACCATCTGGAGTAGTCCCATTGCCTTCAGTGTGACTACTCACCTGCTTAAGTAGTCTGAATTGGGATTATATTGAACAAAACTAATTCAAAATGTATAATATCTCGGACCAATCCTTATTCTGTTTAGCCTGTACAGGGTACTTCAATATTAAAGGAATATCATCAACCTGAATTGCATTTCTGGCAACAACAAAAGCAAAAAAAAAAGTTCTGCGTTCTGTTATAAGTGACCCTTAAGATAATTACATTGGAATAAGCTAGATAAAAATTTTTTGTTTGTTTACTTTGTGCATTTGACAGCAATTTGTAAAGTCTGACTTTTCCCCTTCTTCTGTTCTTCTAACTCATATATTCTGTCATTCTGTGTTGACAGCACAGTAGATAATTTTTTTTTAGTCGTGTGAATATTGCTAGGCTCTGATGGATTAATAATGTAATAAAAATTCTGCCCTCCAGAAATGTGAACCCACCCTTTTGGCAAAGCCAAGCCACCCTTTGCATTTGGGATAGAGCTAGAGATTAGATGTCTTCTTTTGCAGTGACATCCATTGCAAATAATCCAGACTTTATCCCCAATCGTGAACAGAGAGCTTTCAAGATTGGGAAAGTCATAGAATAAACACAACTAGCTAGTTGTATACTAAAGAGATTTCTCTCCAGGGGTTTTTTTTGTTTTGTTTTTTTAAATTAAATAAATGAAATCCAACTTTAACTGGCACAGTCTCCTCTGGTATCAGCACCTTCAATCTAGCATTGTTTTCCAATTTTCTAGAAAGCTGTTTTATATAGAAAGTTAACTTCATAAAAGTGGTGACTTCTGGATGGATAGCAAATTTAAAAAGTAATTTATTACTTGCTGACAAGTTCTCACAAAATATCCAAATCCTTTTGACATTTTATCATATATAGTAGGGTTGACAAATTACACCAGGGAAATAAATTTCAGTTTGGAAGAGAGGGTCTGCAATCTCTGTGTGTAGCATGATAAAAGAATATTTTGTTTAAAAATACTGTTTTGTAGTACTCTACACCAGCCTGGTTAGTGTGTGCATGTGTGCACTTATAATACAAAACCATGAGTTTGGATAAATGAAAGAGCTGATTTTATGCATATAAAGGACATGTGCAATTATTCATGTATTGGGATGCATTTTGTAACCAAACATTACAAATTGTTTGATGTTTATTAACCACTGGTGATACTCCAGGCTTTTTCCCATGGAAAAGGTCACACTCAAAGAAATGAATAATTAATTTCATATTTGCTAGTAGCCACTAGACTAATGGTAGCCTCTTGTGCTGGATAAGAAACAGCCCAAAAACAGAGGAATGGTTCCAAAAAATATAAGAGGTTATAGTTGTGGGGAAAAAATGCAGCATGTAGACACACAGCAAAATAGACCGAGGACAGAAGATATTCATTTGATACTCAGAGTGCACTGGATCAGAAGAAGAATTGCATTTGGAAGTTTTTTGAATATTAATATGTTTTGAAAATGTCTGAGTTTGTCATGTTTGTAGATATAGCATAAGAAAATCCCCAAAAGTATATCCTGGTTGGGGTAAGAAAGTTCAATGTGTAACCTTACCAAATAGAAAAATGGAGAGAAATATCATGCAATGAAACATTTAAAACAAAGTGTATGGTAACAATTTGTAAAGTTCCTTAAAAAGATGTATATTTTTTTAAAGGGAAATAGTTGGTAAAACCATAGACCGTTGAAGGATGACTCCACTATTAGGTATATTATATGCAATTATTTTTAACCAATTCATATTTAGAAAGTGATTATTTAAAGTTGATCCATCTTCATTGAGACCCGCCTAAGGGCAGGATTTAGTACATTCCATTGTCATGGAATAAACCCTTTGACCCAGAATTTTGTTCCAACATCCAAGCGTTCCCTTTTTTTAAAAGGAGAGTTCGATTTTGAAGAACATTGTTGTAGGTCTTTCCGAGGCTATCTGATCTTCTTGAGTCTGAAAAATAGCTCAGAGAGTTATGAACTGCTCCACCCATTGAAGACTACGTCCACACTAATTTTTTTCGTTTTTTCTGAAAAAATTTCATGCCATTGCAGTTGCTACCATGGGTGCAGCTCCTCTTGTGGTAGCAACAGAAGAAGCACTAGAGTAGACAAACCTCCATATGAACGCTGGTGTGTGTGGTTTGTTTTTGTCTTTAAATGTTGCTGCATAGCCCTCCTCTGATTAGGTTTTAGCAACATAGTGGGAAATGATGGCTGTCATCATTGTCTATACTAGCATTTGCTCCATTGTGCAGTTGCAGTGGTATTAGGAATAGATGCACATGTTTCAAAAAAAAAAATATTTATATATATATATATATATATATAGTGCAGATAAGGCTTTAATCGTTTAAATATGAAATCTAACAGTGACCATTTAGATGCTGGTCTTTAACTATTTCACTGCCAGTGATTTTAGCAGAAAAACATTGAGCCTGCCCCAAACAACCCTCTGCTGTTGTTGCAGATTTATATATCGACAATATATTAATATACTCAATATTGAGTGTGGGGACAACGTAACACTGAATTTATTATCAAAATAAAGAACACAAGTTAAATGTGCTGATTCGAGTATCACTTGCATGTATAACTCATTGAAGTCTCTGCCACAGAATTCCCTGCCTCCTGCACTAGACTGCCACAGAATCTGGGGCTATGCCACTGTGGAGTTCATAGGAACTTAGCTATAGAATGCCACCTGTCGAGGAACAATTGCAACTGGAGTGTTTGAGTACAAGCTCTCTGATACGTCAAGTCCAGAAGGATGGAATGAATCCAGGGGGCCATATGGATCTTCGTAGCATCAAACTAGATTGTTTTAATGGCTGAGATTAATTGTATGTTTAAAATGTTTCTGGTTTAAATGTTTGCATATGCAGTGAAAATTGCTGACTTAAAACTTACTAAAAATGGACTTAAAAACTAGCATATGGTAGTTCATATTCTTGGTCTCTGCAGGGGTCTGATAGTGTTTTTCAGTGCTTCCTATGCTGGTCAGTCTAATGAGCTGTATTAGTTAGGCAGGAAACTGTTCTCCATATGGTACAATAGTTGCCATGGTGATTTGAGTGGGGATCTGACCACTGTAGGAAAAAATGAAGGGATGGGTGGCCTCATTTAGCTTGTTTTGAAATAAGGGATGCTTCACTCTGAAATGTGTATTTATTCCTCTCTCTCCTTCCTTTGACAGGAAAATAGGGAACGAGAGAGCCAAGAAGTTCACCAACTGCAGAGATTAAGGGAGCTGGAGGAAAAGCGCCGATCCTGGGCCGCTGGAGAGCTCGGGAGCTTTGGGAGAAGTAGCAGTGAAAATGATGTTCAGACATTGGCTAAAAAAGGACTGGAGGATTTTCTACCTTTCTTGCAGCAGAGACCTCAAAGTCCTTTGAATAGAAACCCCAGCTCTAGGCGCTCCCGACTGTCCTTAGGGATTACTGCAGATAGAGAGCTTCTGACTTTCCTGGAAATCTCCAAGGATGAAGATCCAAACAAATTCAACAGCCTTCCTCGTGCAAACACACGACAAGCAAGACCCAGCATAGACTTGATTGAATCCAAAGAGGCTAGAGATCTCAGTTTAAATAACTTGAATTTACACCAAGCATTTGAAGCCAAAATGGATAGCGCAGATCTGTCTCAGTTGCCTTCAGCTCAGCCCAGTCACTTACAAGAGATGGAGGTGGGCTCTACCAGTGCTAACCTCTGTTACTCACAAAAGAATACTGACAACAAGCAGCACCAGTCCAGTGTGCCTGGTGTGGAAGCAACAGCTATAAATGCTTGGGCCCTTGCTGTTGAGGAACCTGAAGTTGTTAAAGGGCTACATAAGTCTGATATTCAAGGAACAAAACCTATGGCAGACATGCCTCTAATAAACTTAGAAGACGGTGGTGTGGCAGACTTAGAGACTCTAGATGACTTGAGCTTGCACTCCCTCAGCACTGCGGATGATGATGATGCAATGTCCTCTTACAAAAGTTCCAGAGAGGCCGAAGATTGTCAAGCCAAGGTGGCAAGCTGCAAGAATGAAGTTTCAGAGCGTACCAGTAGTGGCCCCACATCTATGGATACAAGCGTTTCTGGCAGTAAAGAACATGGGCCAACGTTCTATATATCTGATACTACTGATTGTTCTCTGACTTTCGACTGTTCAGAAGGAAATGATTTAAAATTAGTGGGCAATGAAATGAAAGATCAAGATGGCAGAGCTTACTCTTGTGCAAATGACACTCGAGATGGGAGTAGTACAGTCACATCAAATCTGAATTCATCCTCTGCAAAGGAAATTTCTCTTCATACTTCCTCAAATGACAAAGAGGACTCCAGCAGCAAGCACAACTTTCCTAAGGAAAAGCCTGTAAAATGTAGAGAATCCTTAGGACCAAAGAGAAACTCTCTAAAAGATAGATCTCTAAACTCCTCAAAATCCAGTGGCACTCGCCCTACCCAGACAGCTACTGCCAGACCAATAAGAACTTTGAATACATCTGAAAGTGTGAGTATGAGGAAAGTGGTGCCCATTTCCAGGTCAAACAAAGCACCAAGCAGTCTGAAAAAGCCAGAAGCCAAACCAGCACTTCGAGAGGCCAGTACAACTGAAACACAACTGTCGCGACGCAACTCTATCCGAGGCACAACAGAAACCCTTTCAAGAACTCCTTACAGGCATAGCTTATCAGTAGAGGAGCCAAAATTACAGCGAGGGACTGCAACTTCCAGCAGTGCCCATTTTGAGAGGGATCAAGTTCAGCGCAAGGGCTCTCTTAAAGTGCCAGGTTCTAAATCTGTCAGAAGTATTCCCAGATCAAAACCAGATGAAAGTAAGATTTGTCGCTCCACTGTAAAACCTCAGGCCCTTTCAGATGCTAACAAAAGCACGACAGCCAGTGCTCCCAAGACACCGTCCTCTATACCAAACTTTGCAAGGAACACAGTGGCCTCCTCCTCAAGGAGTGCCAAGGTGGATCTACCTAACTCTTCAAAAACTCCAAGAATCACAAGATCAGTGTCTCAGAGGCTACCTAGAATGAGGCCAGCAGCAACCTCTGATGACCTCATCCCCAAGGAGAATCCTGGAAACTCCCTAAAACGAGCAAGTAGTGCTCGAGTTGTCAAAAGAAATACCGACCATAGTGATATTCTCAGTGTTAAAGTGGAACCTACAGCAAAGGAACAAGGGATGATGGAAAAGTCATCCCTTAAATTGAAAGATGCAAACCGGACCACAATAGGGAAGATATTTAAACCATTATTAAAATAAGGGTTTGGGTTTTTTGACATCTTGGAATATGAACACATGTTTAAACACTGGATTTCTTGTGAAATATCCAAAACAGTAATATCACTGTTTAATAACATCTCCTGGTATCTAATGAACAGTACACCATCCGAGGACAGCAACTGCTTTTGTTCTGGTCTTCGTCCTGTAAGCATGAATTTGAATGTATTTAATGTTACTGTGGTGGAGTACAAGTGCCACAAATCTTTTGTGCATTTGTGATATAGTACATTGCTAAAAAAACAAACTTGAAGGAATTTAAAACTACCAATTGAAATGCTTTTGTGACATGAAAAGAAAAAAAAGGGGGGTGGGGGTTATGGCCAGTTTTTTTTTTTTTTTTTTAAGGCTTAAGCAGTTACACTAGTTGGTTCCTTTATTCAAAGTTGAAACGACGCCTTTGGAATGGTGCAGAAAATGAACTTTGGTGAAGATGCTTTCTGTCACTCTTGATTCCTTGGATTCAGAGAGTCATCTGTGCCTGTTGCAAAGTCCATTGCTGGCAATTGGACACACTGGGAACTGCTGGCCTGAAAATGGTGAAACAGGACATTCACTGTTTATGGCTGTCTTAACCTCATTGAAGAATTTATGGCATGCCTTATTGTGTATATGTGTCTGTCTGTGTAGGAAGGAAGGAAAACTCTGCTGGGCAGAAAGTTTATTCTCCATGAGTGTGGCAGAATTGTCTTGCACGTACAAGTAGACTATAGTAAAAAATGACTGGTGCTGGATGTAGTAGTGCAACTGGAGGTCACGCCTATTGGAAATACCACCAGTAGCTGTTAGGGATAATAATTACTCATGTTCTGACTCGTTTCAGTCAGATGCAAACTTGCCAGCTTTTGGTAATACAAAAGTGCCATATTTATAATACATATCAAAGGTGATGCATTCAACATTTGAAGGCTGCAACCTGGTGCCGAGCACTTTCTTACCATTCCTTATTTCCACTGGTTTATCTACTATCAAATTACTTGAATGTTGCTATGGCTCCGAAACAGCCATTTCCCTGCCGCCTCCTCCTCCTTTCTTTGTCAACAGGAGCATTTAGCAGGAGAAACACAGCTTACGCATGGACAATGTTTTGTAAATTAAGCTTCTTTGGCTGCTTCAAATGTGGTTTTTAATGTTTAAAGTGGCTAAAGGATGAATTAAAGACATGTTTTAAACTAGTGTTTCATAAGCTTTTTTAAAAAAATACCTTTTTTTCTGCAGAAACAAATTTTAACACCATGTCAGATTAAGATACAGAGAATGAGGGAAAACTTGTTTTAACATGCTCTGTGCCTTCCCAAGAGAAATGTATGTAGGTGTGGGGAAACTGACGGTCTCTAAATATGTTGTTTAAAGAGCTGCCTTTTTATTCACTTACGAATGAAACCTCATTTTTAAAAAAATCATAAAATGAAATCTATTTGGAAAGTTGTCTTTCTGCCTACTGATACATCACTCCCACCCCACCCAACCCCCCCTCCTTTCCATTAGGAGTGTATACTTCATTCAGAATTAACTACCTGCCCACGCACTTCCATGGGCTAGCAACTAACCAACTGGGTACAGCTAGCTATATGATTTTAATAAAGCAAGTGGCCCTTAACCAAGCAGATCCCACTGTGGACAGCATACCAAAACACTATCAGCTGTTCCATGGGACGTCTTGTGAGAGTCTGTCTCAAAGTGAGAATTTTTATAATCAATTCACAGGCAAGGACCTCAGTGAATATTGCTTTAAATCTCATAAGCTTTCGGATCTTCCCTCCCTTGTGGGTTAAATATGAAAGCGTGTCCCTTAGCTCTGTGTGTCCTTGTGTACACATTTGTGAGAGCAGGTGACTTTTTTTTTAAACTCTTTTATTGGTAGTAAGCTTGAAACAATGTAATTTAAATATGTTTGGAAAATGTAAATAAATATCTATATAAATGTCTGTAAAAACAAACAATGTATTTAATGGACCATTTATACATTTCTGAGTAACTTGGTAGTTTAATAAAGTTCCCACTTACCAGAGATGTGCTTTTATATTTTTCTATTTTGATTTTGGTACTATAGTTCTCAACCTGACAGTGTCCCAAAAGGAAGGACTTTAACACATAAATTCAGGAAGTTTTAAATGTTGGATTAATTTTTTAAAAGATATTTTATATATCTTCAGTTTCATGATCAAGCATTTCTAATGCAGGCCTTTTTGCTCTCAACATGGGGTTACCAGCAAATTTGTGGAGCAGATTTGGGTCTAAAATGAAGGATTAATTGCTAGTATGTGCAGCATGTTCTGCACACATTTTGGGTTTTGGCCAAGTTAAATATTCATGGAACTAACAAGTCTGGATCTGCTGCTATCTTCATACCTTTTGGCATAGCACACTTTATTGGGAAATCCTAGCTTATAACTCCCAGCGGTTTAGAAATGAAAGTGTGGTGGCTGTTTTACTATAACACTTAAAGGAAAAAATGGGATAAAGCTTCATTTCATCTTTTATTTTCTCCATTGCCTTATAAAATAGCAATTGGTATAAGCTGAAATACAGCGCCAGACCATGTCAAGTGGACATCAGTTCTCCTCAAAGAAAACCCTTTTCCCCTGTGCTGTGGAGAATGCTTTCTGTGTTGGCATTGCTGCTCTCTTCAGACTTGTTCGGCTCCAAAGATTTTGCTTGTTTGGTCAATGCTTTGTCCTTTATAAGTGACAAGGGCCTGCAGCCTGACTGTGCTGACAGATGTGAGCTTTGTGGAAAGGCTCCTTTACCATTTAAACATGACTTAAGTTTTAATTTTTTTAACTTCATTTTAACAGGGTTTGTAAGTGCTAGTTCATTACTTTAACTATCAGATCTGCTGTCAGAATTGAGAGACAGATGTAAATGCCCTCTAGGATTATTTTCCATGACATCAGCTAACCCAACCCCTTCCCCTATAAACAAGTTTGCATATGAACGGCCTTATAGGGTATGTCTACACAGCAAAAAAAGCACCCGTGACTGGCCCATGCCAACCGTGGGTTTTCTTTGCTGCATAGATGTACCCATAGTTAACTTGATTGCAGTCAGTTCTGAGTTGACTAAAGAATGAGACAATTCCACTTCTTCCAGCTTTGCCAAATGTCAAACACTTTTGTCTCTGGTAATAGATGAATCTGATACCTCTCCCCAGTTATGGTGTTGCTGGGTCATGGGTGGAGGGACAAGTGAGGGTGAAGTGAGGAAGCTCGGGGCACACATGGTGATCTCTAGAGCTAGGTGGCAGGTAGAACATGCGGGGGCATACTTACAGGTATCTAATATTTACACTTCGTGGGAATTACATACCTAGCTATTCAGAATCAGGGATTCACTGCATCACCCATTACAATGGCTTATGAATTTCTCAGGGAAGAAAGAAAAAGTTTTCATCATGTCTCCCATAACATCCAGGTGCAAGACCATGCTGTTTGAAACAATCTATTGACATCTTTCTAATCTTGTAAGGCTCTTCTTATCTGGCTAACTACTATATGTTATGGTGTAGCTATGGTTAAACAGACCGAACTAAACAGAGCTTCTTTCCTACAACTATATTCTCGCCAAAATGTCCAGTTTTCTAACTGCTTAACATTTATAAACTTAACATACACTGTTTACATCTTGGGAACACTTCCCTAAATAACCACTATCCAAAACAATGGAATTCATCCACTGTGTCACTAGTTAAATGGCCAGCAACTTGTTCCCTCTTTATTAACAGATAGCTAATCTATATCTACCTAGCTCTGGTGGTTGAATGACACATTCTGGGAATATTCTTTACAGTTAGTAATGGCTTCTGGACAAATAACCTTGTAACTGGAAAAAAGACACTAAAGTGCAGTACCTGTAAATAGTTTTTCACTGTAAGTCTGCATGTTTGTCTTCCATGAGTATGATTAAGACAAACCCACTGAGGACTATAATTAAGAGACTAGCTTACCACCTGTGTGTCAAGTCAGTTATTTGCATTGGAACAAGGCTATTTGCTGGCATATGGCCATCACTGGCAGTGTACCTGGAATTTGTGCTTTTCTGGGTTTTGCTTCCTAGAGCCAATGACATATCAGAATGAATACAAACTTTCAGGTGTCAACTTACTCCTTTCTTAAAATCTGCTAACCTCCAACTGCTGCTATCCTTTCTTATTGCACTGAACCAACTTGGAGTGAAAAGGTCATCATGAGCATACTGATTTTGTTGGGAGGGGAAGGGAGTGGGGCTTTGTAGATGATGAGCCAATGCTTAGCAAGGGTGGCCTTGATAGGGAAGGATCAGAAAGTTGCATAAGTGTTTGGGGGTTTTCCCCCCTCCAAAAGAGACGCTCCCAATCCAAAGTAAAGACTGTGGGAAAATTCCCTTTGAATGATGATGTATTGGAGATACAGCAGTGAATATATCTCTCCTGCTTTGGGTGTTGGCTACAAATGCGCAATAGCCATCTCTGTCCTATTTTATTTTTGTCTATTTTTTAAAAAAAACTTTAATGCTTTTACGTGGGCAAAGTGAAAGAAAAAATACATAAATTCTAAACACTTTTATCAAGGAGACTGACCATTTAAAATAGTTGGTAACTGCAAACCGATCCTCTGCTGGAAATGGGCAAATATTTTCATTGGATGTGGATTCAGTAGCAAAGTAGCTAAGACATAAAAGCAGAATCTCTTCTCAGCCTCAAAATGGGACTAAATGACAATCATTTTATTTTGAAATATAAATCCTAGCCATTGAAGAAGGGCCATGTTCATGTGTGCATCAAAGAAAGTTGGCCACACATGTTTGTGCCATTTCTATTTCTTGGTTTACTATGAGAGTTGCCTTCCTGACAGCCTTCTGTCCTAGGGCCATTAGAAACCAAAGAAAGCTGCCTTCTGTGTAGTAGAGAGCAATAAACAATAGCTAACCAATATCAAAACCGGAACGTGAGTAGTCTGTATTAGTATTGCTTTATCTAGCTCTTCATTTAAGCAAAACTGTCATGTGATGCTTATCTGTTCTGCATGTGTAAAGGAAGCCAGCGGATTAATCATAACACGTGTGCACTTCTAAGAGCTTATTCAGAGAAGTAATATTCTGTATTTTCATGTGCTATCACATGTTCTGGCAACTGAGGCTGCTTATGTTCTTAAGTATATCTGGAAATGGCAGTAATGCGTTATTAGCTTTTAATAGCTAATAAGTTGTGTATGGAAATAGATTTGTCAGGTGTATTAGGCAAAGGTGGAAGTGATAAATTAAGACACAATTTGAGACAAGTTTTCAAGCCCATGTGGACCCTTTCCTCTGTGTCATTAACATCTTTAAATTACTGTTGGAAGTACTACTTCTGGCAAATACTTACAAAGATCAGTCACGGTGAAAGGGCTAGAGTCCTTTGTGCGTGAATAAACTGAAGCATTGTAGCAAACAGCTGACTAGTAGTGATGCATATTGCTGTTTGAGTTTTACTACTAAAAAAAGACAAGTCACTAACTTCAGTGTTCGTGTTTCTGTTATTCTTCATGAGGCATCTGAAGGTGTTACAGATGTAGTCATCATTAAAATCTATAACCACCTTTTTAGAATGAAAAGCTGGTACAAACGTGCTCTTCTTTCCATCCCTCAAACAACTGTGTTTGCCTCCCTGCATCTCATTGCTGTTTCCTCCCACTCCCATTTCCTTTTATATTTTCCATCCATCCCTATTATATTTTCCATCCTTCCCTAACAATCTCACTGTTTATCTTTCATTTTGTTTCTCTACTTCTGTCTGCAAGCTCTGTTTTGCCATTTTTTGTTCTCAAGCATTTTCTTAGTTCTCTGCTCCTCTCACTTCTTTCTCCTTCCAATCCTCTCCCCTTTCCCCAAGTCCTTCTCTTGTGGGCGTGTGAAAATTGAGTTATTCTCTGCCAGCCTTTGGTAAGGGAGGCAGAGGTGCTGGAACAATTTGTATAGTGGGGGTGCTGAGAGCCATTAAACCAAGCTATAAACCCTGTATATAGTGGAAACCACCAGCATCCATAGTTCCAGCACCTACGAAGGGAGGAAGATAGGACAAGAAACACAGGAATATGGTCTTAAGGATCCTGCTTCTATCTCAGTAGCGTCCACCTTTCATTCTTACTGAACAGCTAGGATGCAGCTGTTACCAAGTGGAGGGGCAGCAAGGAATAATGCAAGACGCTGGAGCACACTCTTCTAAAAATAGAACAATTGATGTCTATGTGGAATGGAGTGGGGACGGGGCATTATTTTCTTGGCTTTCTGGGTCAATAGATAAAGGAGTGGTAATGAAAGAATGCCAGGCAATTGGATTTAAATATCCTCTCTGCCCAAAGACTCCTAAACCACCCATAATCTTCAGTGCCAGCTTGGTGACATGAGCAAATACCAGAGATTTGAATTGCCAGTTTGTAACTGTTGAGATAAATGCATGGGTAATTTTTGACTAATGTGCAGTTTTTCCAGTTTGTGTTAAATCACTAATTTTTACTAATGGTAAGAATTTCCCCCTCCCCACTTATGGAGGAAGATTTCTGCAAAGCATTATTCCAACCCGCAAAAACCAAAGACGGCTCATCAATATAGACTTGATGAATTACTACATGATGCAGAGCACTCTGAATTTGTGCATAGTATATTTATGTGGTATATAAATGTGTACAGCTACAAGGGAAGTTGGTGCTTATAAGAAAGTGTTACCAAAATAGAGATGGTATTTTGGGGAAGGTACTGGCAGAACATTAGGACCTTGTCTAGACTAGGATTTGGAAGGTGGTAGCAGTCTAATGTAAGCAAACCAACTTAACCTGTGTTTTGATGCAACTTTTAATGGGATGGTTTCAGAAAGAGAGAACACCCCATCTCAGAATAGCTAATAGCCTAGTGGTTAGAGCACTCACCTGGCATATAGGAGATTCTGGCTGAAGTCTCGGTTTTGCCTGATTTGAAGCCGGCCCTTGAACATGGGTTTCCCACATCCCAGGCTTATTGGGTTCTTGGCCTGCCTGCCCACTACCCTTCTTTTCA